ATTTATAATTATATACATTTTATATCATGTATTTATTATTTTATTTATTCAATTGTTACTAATTGATTTAATTTTATTTATTATTCATTGTTATTGTTTTTATATATTAGTTTTTGTTTTAGTATTTTTTGTTTATATTTTACTATTATTTTTTAATAATTCTTTATTATATTTGTTTATAATTTATAATATATACATTTTATATGATGCATATATTATAAATGTATTTATTATTAATTTTATTTAATATTTTTATGTCCATGTTTTTATTAATTAGTTTCAGTTTTATTTTAGTACATCAAGAGAAATGTTTCTTTCTTTTTTTATACAAAGAAGCTTCACTATAGCTTTAGTGAACTGTAATAACCCTGCTGCAGACGTCTGTTGTATGTGCATTAGTGGAACTGTGATGGTTCAGTTTGTTCTGTGGTCATCTCCAGCAGATCACAGATGTTGTGCATGGATCTTAACGTTTACTGAACCCACAGCATTTGTTTCCATTATTAATGTGCGAAAACACGCGTCCGACCTGCCAAACTCACAGGAGCGTTTAATGAAGGGATTGTTGCTAAGTGTCTGTGCACAATGGAACCCAAAGGCTCTAATTAAGACAGTCCAACAAAGCCGAACCGACACCAGGGGTCACGACCCCGACCCATAAACCCTCGCTGACCCCCACACCTGCCTGATTACATTAGTCTGCGCTTCAGACGAGCAGGGGCCCATCAAACAGAGCCACTACTCAAACTGTCTTCAGTTCTGTTCAGAATATTTCAAGATTATTGCAGTTAACTAAAACTAAATATAAATATAAAAAACACTTGTCACTTGAAATAAAACAAACTTTAACTGAAATTATATATATATATATATATATATATATATATATATGTTAAACAGTAACTTAAAACTGAAGCTTATTTTATTTCAGCTAGTTGCCAAGGCTACATTTCTCATTTTTATTTAGTTTAAAACTAAAACTGAAATAAAATAAAAAAGCTATATAACAATATTTTTAAAAGCGAATAAAATGGATAAAACATACAATATTACAATTAAAGTGAAAAGAGAAAATTCTAAATATTAATAAAAACTATAAAAGTATCTCAATGATTCTAAAACAACACTGATTCTATTCTATTCTATTCTATTCTATTCCATTTCAATCCATGTTATTCTATTCAGGGTTACTAAACCATAAACTAAAACTAAAACCATAAAAAGAATATATATAAAATGTATTAAAATATAAAAAAACATTAAATAAATTACAATATATTTAATTAAATATTTAAAAATTAAAAACTTAAACTGATTTAATTTCATCTACTGTAGTTGCAAAGGCAACATTTCTCATTTACACAGATTTAAAAATAAAACTGAAAAAAAAATGCATAACTACTAAAATTAAAACTCAAATTAAAATGAAAATACAAAAATAGACTAATTCTAAATATTTATAAAACACAAAAGTATCTCAATTATGCTAAATTAATGGTGATTCTATTTTATTCTATTCTCTTCTGTTCTATCTGACTATTCTATTTTATATGATATTTATATGATTTTTTTTATTAGGTTCTGATATGTTTTCTTGTTTATAGTAACTTAGATATAGACTCAAATTAATTAGTGCATATAAAATGTATGCATTCCATCTCACAAAACACAAACTGTACTTTAGACACATTACATTTTACAAAAATACGTGAAATGAATTGAAATTCATAAGGTAAAGCTGCCGAATGGGACGCTGTGACCCTTAAGACTCGTCTGAAATCTAAAAGTTTGACATTCTATGCAAAGACACTTTAAATTTACTGAACTTCTCACAAACATCCACTCTGGTCCAAACAGAGGGCATGTACATCATGATGTTTTAAAGGTACAGTAGCAAAAACAGGCCGTTTACATCAGGGTCAGAGAGAAGGTGGTACTGAAGTTCTGGACGGGGGTTTCTGGGATGTTATTATGGATGAATTGTCGTGTCAAGAGTTCATGCACCAGCGTTCATATTTACACTGTAGAGACAAAGCCGTTACACAGCGCTGCGCTAATGAGCTTCTGAGCAACCGGTGGCGCCACCTGCCTCCGCTCGCCAATTAACATCCAGAACCAGAACACACACACACACACACTTGTATTTGTGGTTTACGGGGACTCTCCATATGCGTAATATCTCTCCATACAAGTGAAACAGACAATTGTTAGGCTTCAAAAACTGTTCTGTGTGAGTTGAATATGCAGATGTAACTGTGTAACATTAGGCTTGATCTGTGTGTGTGTGTGTGTGAGTTGAGGCATGTAGCGTGTGCGTGTGTAAGAGTGTGTGTGTGTGTGAGTTGAGGCATGTAGCGTGTGCGTGTCTGCTGTCAGCACACAAACACAATGAGCGGCTGATCATTTGAGCCCGACAGCAGGTGTGGAGCATCAGCCGTTGCGACAAACAAATATAGAGCAGACACAGTCTGTCCTGAGACACCAAACCTCCTGAATGTTCGAGTGTCACGACAAAAAAACACATGCATAGACTCAAAAACACAGATTTCAGCAGCCGTGCATCCAAACTACATGTGTTCAATTTTTATCGTCTGCGATAATATCGTAATTGTTGTTTTAACGATGTGTGAGCTGACATTATGGAGCATGTCACTCACTCTGTCCAAAAGCATTCAGTGCATGATGAAACCTATTAATGCAGTTTAAATGTCATTCAAGTCATTGCCATTTCATTCAAGTTACAAATGCAAGAATAAATCCTTTATAGGTTTTTGTTTTTATATTTACAAAATATGATATAGTTAAGTAATGTCACACAAGCAAGAGTGCCGTTTTCCCAAATATCAGCATGAGCGTAATCACAAATGTGATATTAACTCTTTCCCCACCAGCGTTTTTGAAAAAAAGTTGCCAGCCACCGCCAGCATTTCTGATTATTTTCACTAAAATGTCATGACCCCAAGAATATTTTGTTATATGCATATCTGAACATGCAATACATCAAAATAAAGAAGAGAGCCTCTACTTTTTCATTTATATGGAACATATAACATTCATAGAACATGATCTTTACTCTAAATATCCTAATGATTATAGGCATAAAAGAAAAATGTATAATTTTGACCCATACAATGTATTGTTGGCTATTGCTACAAATATACCCCAGCGACTTAAGACTGCTTTTGTGCTCCAGGGTCACATATGTGGCCAAAGCTGAGAGCGGGACAAACACACCTGATGACTGACTCTGAGAGCGGCTCACCTGTGTCTGTCTGTCTGTCTGTGGACGCCTCGAGCTGCTCAGAGCCGGATCATCTGACCTCACGCTGTTCACACACCTAAAGAGAGAGAGGCAGCCTTCAGTGACTCTGAATTATGCTGATTTATGAATATAATATCTACTTCTGCACACTTTAACACCAGACTTTACATTTAGAGTCAAAATACTAAAATTTTTCAATCCCAAAAGTTTTTGAAAGAGTCTCTTCTGCTCACCAAGACTATATTTATTTTATAAAAACATAGTAAAAACTGTAAAAATTGTGAAATATTATTACAATGTAAAACAGCTGTTTTCTATGTGAATATCTGTTAAA